CCCTCCCTCCTCCTCCTCCTCCTCCTCCTCTCCCCAATAGGATTTTATTTCACAAACGGGTCACAGCAATCGAGCCGATCGAACCGAAACAAAACGGTGGAGGGGAGGGTTTGTGAAACGTTAAAAACGAAAGAGCGAGAGAAGGGATCGCCGCGGGGGCGGAACGGAGGAGCGCATCGGTATAATGAGATTCAATGTATTCCGTGCACGCTCGAAAAATCGCGGCAATGTGTCGGCGGCCGTGTAGAACAAACGGGCCGGCGGGTGTTCGACGTTTTCACGATACATTTCGCGCTGTATGTGCACGTTTTAACGATATGCCCCCCGGTATGATATCAACCCCCTTCTATGCATGACTGTTAATGCCGGCGATACGCGCGGTAATTGAAGCCGGCCGCGTTTCTCTTTCTCTTTTTTTCTCGAGCGCGCAAATTTAATAAAATCTCCTCTCCCGTAATGCATCGCGCCCATCCTCCGTGTTTAAAGGGTACTACTTTATGATCGATCGGTCACAGTTGCTAATCACACTGCTCCGATTTCGCCGCGCTTGACCGCGTGAAAATGATTACCACTTTTTTTTAAAAAATCCAAACCGGGCGAAACGGTTGCCTCGGAGAACAACAAATGAGGGCCAATGAGAGAACCGTTTTCATTTATCGAGAGAGCGTTCGGTGTTTTGTCGATCGACCGAAACCGGGTTTTCGACCACTCGTGCATCGATGCTTCATTGCGCTCGAGATATCGTGTTGGTATTTTTTTTTTCTTCTCTCTCTCTCCCGCCTGTTTTTCCAGTTGCGGTCACCAGTTTTGTAATATTCCAATAAAAAAGAAAAAAAAGTATACGCGTAACTTACGATCGACGGGCGAACTGTGGCTCCCGTTTTTTCCTACTTCCATCATACTTTCGAACAACTTCTCCGTGATATACCATAATGTACCAGAATCGAAGGAATCTTCGAGTAAACTACTGTAATAATAATAATAATAATGATACTTCCTCTCCATTTCTTAATTACATTTCACGTGTTTCATCGATCGTGTGTATATACAATAAACGGCGGAAGGATTGACCGAAGAGAAAGAGTGTTCGCTCGAAACGAAACGAAAATTGTGAAACGAACATGTCCAGGTCGGTGAAACTGTTGCCGGACGGGAGAACGCTGATAGTCGGGGGCGAGGCTAGCCGACTTAGTATCTGGGATCTGGCCAGCCCAACGCCGAGGATCAAGGCCGAATTAATCTCGGCCGCCCCCGCCTGCTACGCCCTGGCCATCTCCCCGGACTCGAAGGTTTGCTTCAGCTGCTGCAGCGACGGCAGCATCGCCGTCTGGGATCTTCAGAATCAGTCGCTGGTGAGACAGTTCCAAGGCCACACGGACGGCGCCTCGTGCATCGACATCTCGGCGGACGGGTCGAAATTGTGGACCGGCGGGTTGGACAACACGGTCCGCTCGTGGGATCTGAGGGAGGGAAGGCAGCTGAAACAGCACGACTTCACCTCGCAGATATTCTCGCTCGGCTACTGTCCCACGGGGGAATGGCTGGCCGTGGGCATGGAGAACTCGAACGTCGAGGTGTTGCACGCCTCGAATCCGGACAAGTACCAGCTACACCTGCACGAGTCTTGCGTGTTATCGTTGAGATTCGCCTCCTGCGGCAAGTGGTTCGTCTCGACCGGCAAGGATAATTTGCTGAACGCGTGGCGCACGCCTTACGGGGCCTCCATATTCCAGGTAAGCAGATTCGAGAATAAATTTCTAGCCTATTCAGATTTCTTATAGTTTTTAGAAACAAAAGAGAAGAGTTTTTTACTTTTAATTCTTGTGTAAAAGAATTTCACTCGAATCATCCACGTTTCCAGTTTGAACTTTTGTTCGTTCAAAAATTACGAAGCGTGTATATCGTGAAATTACGAATTCTAATTAAATCGAATATTTCAACATTGTTTAAACGTTTATGCTGGGGAGAAAAAGAAAAAAGAAGAATAATCGAAACGTTCGCATTGCCTCACGAACGACACGTCTTTATGCTGTTTTCAGTCCAAGGAATCGTCATCCGTGCTCAGCTGCGATATATCAGCGGACGACAGGTACATCGTTACCGGTTCAGGTGACAAGAAAGCGACCGTCTACGAGGTCATGTATTGAACGAACGACGAAATCCCAACGTCGATCAAACGTATTCATCAGAGCCGAGCAACTATCCACAGCGTGGGTGTACATAATTCTTATACGATATTAACACGAGAGACGTTTGTTGCCCTTGTTCTTGTTATTGTTGTTATTGTTACTCTCGGCGAGAAGAAAGGGTCCGTGCAAAGAAAGAGAGAAAACGAGCCGAACGAACCGGAGTAAAAAAAAAAAGAAAAGAAAAACAAGAATTCTTTCACCGATCGAATCGCGCAGCCAACGCTCGAGAGATTTTTTGTAAAACATCGACAACGTCGAACGATTTTTAAGATTTTTCGGATAGAAAAGAGATTTGAAATATATAATTATTCGTGACATAGGCGGCGAATAGATCGATAATTTCGTTTCGTGTCCGGATCGTTCTTCTTATTTCGATCGATAATCGCTACGTTAAAAAAAAAAAAAAAAAGGAAATGAACGTTTTTCATCGAAATCGGACAGTTCGTTCCGCTCGTCGCGCGTACGACCGCCATTTTGGGCGGCTGGATCGCGCTTAAATTTGAATAACGCTGATATTTACGCGCGTTTTTTCCTGTATATTTTGTATATACATATACATAATATTATATATATATATATATATATATATATATATACATACGTCA